ATTTTCCAGTGACTTCTTTCCTGTCAAATAGAATACCTAGTTATGAACTGCAATAAAATATTAGAACACACACAATAACCTGTGTGCGGCAATTGGCAATTGGTAGCTTTTTAAAGAAATATATTATAGAATTTGTGACAATATGATACAGATACAACTGGCAGTGTGCCACAGCAGACGATCAAAAAAAGAGTTTTTACATGTGCATTTAAGTGGAAACACAGTGGACCTGTAGCTTTTAGCTACTTCTATTGCACATATTTGCTAACCATTTTCCACTGTACTTTCCTCAGATATGAACTTTAATGCGATCATAGGTGATAAAATTGTTAGATATGCCTGCAAGTTTTATTTGGTACAAGAATGAGAAATCCACAAGATATGTTGTTGGTAGGCACTGCAATTTAATCTAAGATTTTTCAGAAATCTATATCCTCAAAACTAAGAGCTAAATCTGCTCTATGCTCTAACTCCTTGCAATGCAAAGTGTCGCCTGTAGTTTAGCCGCATCTGCATCACCGGAGAGGTGCTGGTCTAGCTCACAATGTCTGAGTCAGTTTGGATCATGGAGCTACACTTATATGATCCATAAACCTTATTTTTCATCTTCCCTTCTTCAAGTTATCCAGGTACTTTTGAATCGAAGCCAAAAAAATAAAAATCACACTTGACAATCCTTTTCAGAAACATTTTCATTGTCCCAAGAGAGGGAATATGAAGTTCCAAATGCTGCATGTGAAAAAGTGGGAAAAAAACACACATTTGGTTCCATGTGTTAGAAAGGACTGATTTCTGTAAAGTGAAGAACTGTAAGTTACCAACAGCATTACACAGGAATAAGCTGAGGAAACTGAGCTTTATGAAGACGAATAATTCTCACCAAACACTGCTCAGTCCCTCTCCATCCCATAGGGCGCCCTTGAGGCTGCAAGAGCTCCACCCTAGAAGACGGAAGGGCAGCCAGCAGCGAGGTGGAGATCCACGTGCTGCTCGTCCATGCATGTGTCCCTGCGGTCATGGAATTCACTGAAGGCTGCTCAAGCATGGCCAAGTCATGAATGGAATTCAATCTAACCTGAAAGTCCCTGAAGCCCTTATATTCCCAAAGTAATTACAAAAAGCATGCTAGTGACTGCTTTTAATACCTACTAATCAGGGGGAAGTACTCTTCTTTTTTTTTTTTTTTTTTTGCGGTACGTGGGCCTCTCACTGTTGTGGTCTCTCCCGTTGTGGAGCACAGGCTCCGGACGCGCAGGCTCAGTGGCCATGGCTCACGGGCCCAGCCGCTCTGCGGCATGTGGGATCTTCCCGGACCGGGGCACGAACCCATGTCCCCTGCATCGGCAGGCGGACTCTTGGACTCTCAACCACTGCGCCACCAGGGAAGCCCAGTACTCTTCTTTTGACTTGCCCAAGTGGTTATACATCCACATGAACAGAGGAGGTACAAGAATAAAGGTCTCATGTAAAATAAAATGCAGATCGACAGTGGCACTTGCCAAATGTTGAGTCCCCACTTATTCATCAGGAAATACAAACTGTTTCAAAACATCTTTATAGCTTCACGAAAAGAATATGAAAAAAAGAAAACAATGACAACAGCAATGAAACTTCAATTGGAAGATTCTTTAACTGGGATACTAAGTTTTACAGTCCCTCCATTATCTGTTCTTGTGCAGAGCCAGGAAAAATACTGTCAAGTACCAAGTTAAGAAAATAACAGCTTTTGTTTATTTCAGAGTGAATTTGTGCCAAAATAGTAAATATGCTATTGTCTTTTGTTTTTGTCTTTGTTCAGTGAAAGTGGGATACAAAGTCTAGACAATGGCAGACGTTGGGGAGAACATGCACAGGAATGCCATTCTGGGCGGTTTAAGTCTCACTGGGATACAAATTATTTTAACAGCCACTGCTACAATCAGGGCTCTCAGGCCAAATAATTCTGATTCCTGACATCGACTCTGGAAGCTTCTAAAAGGCAAAAGCATACACAGTCGTTCATGCTCATTGCTTATATTAAGCAACATAAATCAAAATGCTATTCCTAAAACATAAGAAAGGTCTTGTCACGATGCCCAGCACAGAGCAATCACTCTATAACCATTTGCTTCCTTTCTTTCTTATTTCCATTTAACTCAATCGGGCAAAAGTATTTTCCCCAAAAGAGACGCAACAGTTTTCAAAAATACTATTTCAAGGGCCAGGATAAGTAAACTTTACAGAGAAGTTTCTGATGTAGGCTTTTGCTTCCAGAACTAGTGGTGGTGCTGAGGGGTGACTTATGGGACTTTAGATCCCCAATAATCTCCATCAATCCCCAGTACCCCATAAAAATAAACTCAAAATAAAAGCAGTCCTCTTGTTATGAAATCTAGCTTCAAGACGAGTCCCCTTTCAGCCAGACTGAAACCCTGAAGTTACTCTATCGATATTCAGGTGCTACAGTTATCCAAAATCATTACATAATCAAACAGCCATTTATTTTTCCTTCTATTAGAGGAAGCAAAGCCAAGTAGTAAGGCTAAATCTTGAGAGCTGGGCAGTCCTGGGTTTGAATGCCAGCCCTTTACTCATTAATGAGAGACCTTAGGAAAAATACTCAACCTAAAACTGAAAGTACCCTCATGTTAATCACTGAGATTAGCCAGTGAAACTGGGGATGCATATCTCAGCAGGCTGATGTAGGGACCAGATAAGATGATGACCATACAGCACCTGGCAGGTCTTAGCACCAAGTGAGTGCTCAGTGAATAGCTCCCTGCATCATCCTTCCTCCTTTTTACTGATTCAAAATCTCTGACATTACATGGTCTCCCGAAGAAAAAGAGAAAAACTGGCTGAATAACAAAATCATGGCTATACTAACAACTAGAATTGTACTGATACTTTGGGGAGTGTTAATATATCCCTGAGCAAAAGGATTTTCTATTTTACAAATGATTAGAAAAATTCAGCATCCTGCACGGAGATCACAGAGTTCTAGGAGTCTGTGCTCTCTCCCTTTAATCTCAATAGGTTACTAGTTCTGGGCAAAGAGGAAACATCTCTGCTTCTGTTCAGCTCTCCTTTCTTTATGCTGCACCCTGGCTCAAGAGCAGCCCAGGGAGGAACTGTGTTGCCTACCCTGAGTTGTTACCACGACATTGTTGCCAAAATAGCAGGTACTCTGCAGGAGTCAGAAGAGCCTCTTACAGATATTATATGACTTCTGCTCCTGGCACATCCTCTGTTGTCTGTTAAGGGCCTGACGGGGGCAGTCAGGGACCACCAGAGTCACAAACTAACTAAGGCGATGGAGAGGGGTTTTGAAAATCTTCGGGCTCTCAAATAAAGAGAATCCCAATGGCCTGTGCTTCATTTCTGAAGATTCCTCTCACCATGAGGGAACAAAATGATGCTTTGATACCATCTGCAGAACTATGTCATACCTGTTTCATGAAGTTGAGTTCTTTTCCTAAATAATGAGTATTTCAGGGCAGTAAAAAGAATGCTGCCTGGTTCTTTAAAATAGTAACGTGTTAGCTGGGACATAGTAGGAACTAAACCTTCAGATTGAGAGAATATACAAACGGACAATGTCCAGACCATGGATAACAACAGAACTCTGACCCCAACCTCTAGAGCAACCAGTCCAGGGAGCCAAAACACAATCCTGGCAGCCATCGGCCCAGAAGGGGCAGGACTTGATTAAAAACTGATGGTTTCTCTATTTTTTGTCCCTATGCCCAACTCTGGACCAACCACAGAAAGCCATGTATGTTCCCCAATCACATGAGATGCTCGGCTTCTGATCAGCCTACCTCCAGCTTCTCCGTGCCAACAACCTCTAATCAGAGCACACCTGGAGCCTTCTCTTTTTTTAATGGAAAAACTTTCCCACTCCCCTGCCTGCTTTTGAGTCTCTGCCAAAGGCAAGTGATAGAGGCTCACTCCATTGCTACAACAAACTGAATAAATAGCTTCTGTTCTCATTTGAATGGTTTTTGCTTAGTTCCATAAGATTCACTTGTTTGTGTCTGTTATATCTAGTATACTAACAAGATCATATTTTAGGATTTGCAATGCTAAGGCTATGGAAACTTAAGCAATGCAATACCACCCTTGAGGCTTCTGGGCAACCCCAAAATCTGCCTAGAATGTGCCTTCAGCAGCCTTCCCTACTCGCCAAACCCACCTCCAACCGTCCTTCTCTTTCCAATTTGTGGCTCCAATTATCACAAAGAATTATGTAAAGTAATAGAGTGACCAACCATCAGTTTGCCCAGAACTGCCCCATTTTAGGCACTGAAAGTTCTACATCCCAGGAAACCCCTCAGTCCCAGGTAAACTGGGACAGTTGGTCACCATGCAAGACTCCTCATAATGCCATGCCGTTCTAAGACTCAGCCTTTGCAGATGTAATTCGTTCTGCCAGCAATCTTCTCTTTTACCATCGACAAATTATCAACCTGGTGAGCTCCTCTCAATCTGCCGAGCCCGAGCCTAAGTGCCCACTCCTAGGCCTCTTTGACAACAGCCCATCCCCTAATCCCAAGCAGATAATCATCCTCTCCTCTACGCCACACTGGCGTATACTTTTGCGCATATCACACGGCATAGGGATGAGTTGGTTACGGCGTTTAGACTTTCTGACCCTGTTACACAATCATCTCCTTGCAGGCAGGAGGTGGACTGTATTTCCCTTTGTGTCTCCTCACTGACGTCATCACAGCAACCCCATGTTTGTCTGTTTCCTGAGTAAGTGCATTTGTGGGTGATTAAATGGCTTAGCTATTATTTATTTTATTTATGTAACATAATTATAATTACTTATTGAATTCCTGAATATTAACAAATTAATTATTTATTAATGAATTAAATTGATCCTCTACAAAAAAGTCCATAAGTTCCAGATTGAGCCAAAGGGACAGCTTATAAATATTGATACATATGTGGAAGTTGGGTGCCTCGTAAGAAATATACTTATTAATCCATTTCAATTACCCAGATCATTGACCTACCTCAATCTGGGTGGTGTTGTCCTGCCCGTCGTCCAGGAGCAGGTCCGTGAATCCTCTGGGCTCTGGGGAGTCTTGGCCCAGGCTGGCTCGGTTTGAGTCTACCGCCTTGAGAGAATCCAAGTGCCTTTTCCACCGGTGGCTGAATGCATGGGAATCCACCTCCACCTCCTCTTCTGTTTGTGGGAAGGCCTGAGCAACCTGATAGTGCCAATCTGTTTGAAAAAAAAAAAAAACGATTTACCACCTGTTATGCATCATTTGCATGCTTTCTAATAGAGAAGAAAAATATTCTGCTAGTCATAAGAAGAGGAAACTAACTCATAACAGTGAAATCTGTTTAACTGTAATATTTTTGAGTTGGTATGAATATCTCCGAGTAGAATGCAATTTTAGGACACACTGTGATAAGTCGTGACAATGGTTAATGTGCACATCCAGCAGAGTCCCTAAAACAGTTGTGCAGCCCTAAAGTAATGCACTTTTATTCCCTTCCTTGCCCGTCCTTCACACACACCCTTCATAAACATTCTCTAGTTGTTCTGAGAAAACAAACTACAATCCAAACAAAGGAATGAAACTAAATGATTCCCAGCACATCTGAAAATACGAATCAGACATTAATAACTTGTGAGTTTATATTATTTCATGTGAGTTATGCTGGGTAGCAGAGAGAAAACAGAGCATTTGAATGGGTTAAATAATACATGGAATGGCCTTTGTGCAAACGTGCTAACCTGCCTTGTAGCTCACAAGTCAGACTTGGTTCATTGCTGAACTCATTTAATAAGCCACGTCCTCGGGAGGCATCACAAACGCTCTTGCTCATTTGAGCTGTTCTCACCTTGGAATCTTGTCAGGGTGGTAAAGGATGACAGTGATAGGCACTTAGAGAAATGGATGGGAAGGCAAGGAGATCAAATCACAAGGGTATTTTAAAGCCATCTGCAGGGACTGACCTTGCTGACCCAGCTCATTCTGCTACTACAGGAGGGAAAATTAGATTTAATCATTACTCCTAGTCTTTCATTTCAGTGGGTCAGCAGGGGAAGGTGTTCCACAAGTATGGGAAATTCAGTGTCTGACCAAGAACAGTTCTCCTCTAGGCAACTATTACCAAAAGATACGAATTGACAGGCTTTATAACTGGCAGGATATGGGTTCAAAAAGCGCTAAGAGAGCAGTGATTTAATTACAGCTGTGAGGTTCCCATCAATACAAGAACGTTCCAAGAAACAAAAATGTATTTAATGAAGCTTATAATACCATTAAATCAGTTACTTAGAACTCTAATAACCAAGTTAAGGCTTCCACTACTAATCACATGCAAATGGTCTAAAATACCTCCCTCTGAACTCAGAAAGATGCTAATCATTCTTCTAGAGGGGCTATTCTTTGATTTCACTGTGGATTTAAATGATCTGCCACTGCCTAAAGCCTTATTGGATACAGTCTAGAGTGATGCACTACCACAGTGTTGGCAATCTAGACTTTTCCATGGGCTTGTAGAATATTAGAGCTTAAAAGAGTCATGGAGATGGAAATGGCTAAAAATTCCACAGAAAGGAACCCTAGAGCCAGAAAATGTAGCACTGTGCTCAATTCACAGAATAGCTAGTTGTAGGCTAGGAAAAAACCCAGGTACATAGAGGGTTTATCATGGTCCCCTCCCACCTTCCACACAGTAAATGTTCAATATGTATGTCTAATGAGTATTTTACAGAAAATATTTCTTTTCTGTTTGTTATAAATTTATTTATTTTTGGCTGCATTGGGTCTTCGTTGCGGTGCGCGGGCTTCTCATTGCGATGGCTTCTCTTGTTGTGGAACACGGGCTCTAGGCATGCAGGCTTCAGTAGTTGTGGCATGCGAGCTCAACAGTTGTGGCTCTGGGGTGCAGACTCAGTAGTTGTGGTGCACGGGCTTAGTTGCTCTGCAGCGTGTGGGATCTTCCCAGACCAGTGCTCAAACCCGTGTCCCTTGCACTGGCTGGCAGATTCTTAACCACTGCACCACCAGGGAAGGCCCGAAAATTTTTCTTTTTTAAGGTGTTGTCCCCACTGGACATTGAATAATACTCAATAAATGTTTGTTGACTGACCAAATGAATGAATAAATTGTAGACAGTCTCTCTGGAGCAAAAATGATAGGACCAGGCACAATTAAGTACGGAAGAAATACTGTACAAGGATTCAGGAGACCTGGGGTAGAATTCTTTCTGTTAGGTTTGCTGAATAGGGGATATTGCATGATTTACAAAACTCTCTGTGCTTTAGTTACCCTATATTTCAAATGGAAATGAAAATATCTTACCTGCAAAAGCAGACAGTTTTTCCTGAGTATGTGCCAGGTTCTAAGACTTATGATTCTAGGCAAAGCTACATAAAGCAATTTTATTTGCTTTATTTAGATATCCTGCCTCATTACCAAAAATATATGAGGCAGCTTACAACAAAAGTATACAATAAAGTTTTATAACAACCAGATAAGGCCTCGTAGCACAACACTCAGATTAAACTTTAGAGCTGTGCATTCACCTTGCACTAGGGGTGGTGGCTATCTGAATACAAACAATCATGTAGGAACAACTGAAAATCTATAGGATCCTTACTAGAATGTCTGTGCAGATAAGAAAGATAGCAAATATCATGTAGTCAATGGATTAAACAGTCCTAGATATAAAAATATTATTTTAAAAAAATCACAGAAAGGGAAAGTCTCCAGCCAGAGGTTTCTCAGTTCTTTATAATGTAAATCAGAAAAAAAAACACACCAAAATCTCCAAAGAAGTAGTCTTTATTAAAATCTTCAACTGTTGGTTTCTTTAAAATAGATGTTATCATTGGATATTAATTGCCTGATATTAATTTTACCATTATCCTTTTAGATTTTTATAACACAGGACAAAACATAGTACTTTTCATGATGGCTGTTAGGCCAGTAACATAACACTAGCCCCTGTGGCCCTGGCACAGAGCACAGAGTAGACGAAACAACTAACACTGGAGGAGCTGTCTGCAGAGGAAGTCTAGTTCTCATCTTTGATTGCTCTTTCTCATTTTCTCCCTGCCTTCTTACCCTAAGAAGGAGCTTCAAAACTTAGGGAGGATAAAGTCCATACTCCCCACTGCTAAACTAATTAAACAAGGAGGCCATCAGACTGAGGTGGCTCTAAAACCTTAGCAGCCTACGTAAGTAAACCCAAACCTGAGCCTGCAGCTGCCTCAAGGTTAAGAAATCAAAACCTAAGAACAGGGCTTTCCTGGGGGCGCAGCGGTTGAGAGTCCGCCTACCGGTGCAGGGGACGCGGGTTCATGCCCCGGTCCAGGAGGATCCCACATGTTGCGGAGCGGCTGGGCCCGTGAGCCATGGCCGCTGAGCCTGCGCGTCCGGAGCCTGTGCGCCACAACAGTGAGAGGCCCGCGTACCGAAAAAAAAACAAACAAAAAAAACCTAAGAACAACCAGTCACAAACTTACACCTAGACTTTTCTGAATCAGGCAAACACTTAAGCTACAGCCAATCAAATAATTTCCTTGTTTTCTTCTGCCTTTTCTCCATAAAATCTCTCCCCTCGTTGGGGTTCTTGGAGTGTTCCTAACCACTTCTGGTTTGTGCTGCCCCACTGAAATTGATTTTCAGTCAGGTAAACTCTTAAAATGTTGAATATGCCTCAGTTTATCTTTTAACACCACTTAAGTTGAAATTTGGGAAGTCTGATTAGTGTATCAAACTCTTGTTTTTGTGATGAACATTCCAACTCATTTTTAGCTAGATTATTGGGGAAGGTGAATTTAACAGACAGGTAGGCCTCCCGTATAAAACAAGCATAAATGCTTCCTCCAGCATTTACAAGGGTAAGTCCCCAGACAGCTGTGGGTTTTGGTGTTTGTTTTTCACTTTCTGGCAGTGTTTTATGATTTTTTTTTTGCTTGCTTTACTGTTGTATTAATTGCTATTACAGCCGTTGATTAGTTTGTCTCCCTGATGGACATGTTTGCTCCTTCTAGAATTTACTACAGTAAACTTTGTAAACTGATTACTCAATCACTTGCTGGCTCTGACTGTAAAGAGTAAACAAAATCTATGGAAGGAACTGAGGGTTTTCCAATGTGAAAGTTTGTGAGCTTTAGTGCCTAGCCTCTGTGAATTTTCTTTGGGTTGCTATTTTATACCTAATTCTTGTTCTCCGGTTAGGTTATGAATAAGCAAGACGACCCAATCATGCATAGAGGAAACATTCCTATTTGCTCATAATTCAGTAGTACATGGTTCATCAAGACTAAAGTATGAAATTGGCTTCGATTTTTAACCCATTTCAGAATGATTTTTAGAGAAGATAAAACAAGTCAAAAATGGATGTTTCCAGAAATAAAGACTGAGAAAAACTGGCAAAACCAAAGCCTTGTTATCTACATTGTAAATTACTCCTATGCACTTCATGGGCTTTCTAACTCACAAAAATATTTCAAATTATCCTTTAAATCACCACCAAAACAAATCAGAAGAAAGATGAAGGGATATATGTAATATAATTTTTCCCTTCCCAGCAGTAGTGAAAACAAAAGCAATAGGAGGGATCTTAATAGTCTGGTTGCACAGACTGTCTGCTTTCTGTCCACTGTGTGTTAATTAAACCACTGATGGAAAACCGTCAAAGAGAATTTTCGCCAACATGTTTTGCTATAGTTGTTAATCACATAGCTCATGGAAACATTAAATATATCTAAGGACTTCCATTTGGATATAAGGAGAGAAAGCAAAAAGACATATTTTTGTATATTTAATATATAAATTGACCTTAACACATCCTTGAGATACTTTATTTGATAAAAATAGCAGATAAAGTATTACTGAAGAAGGTATTTCATTACATTTCAAATAGACCATCATTATGAAACCCAATAATGTCTAGTTAATCTGAGAGTAAAATAAGAAACTCACATACATCTTCATATTATTATTTGCAAACCTTGCAAGTCTCTTTTGTGCTATCATCTACTATAAAATAAAATCATTTAAAATAAAAACAAAAGGGAAGAAAGCTGTTCTGGGTTGGATGTGTTTATATTTGTGTCTTATCCTAATGATTTTATTTAAATACCTTACATTTAGCTAATAGTTGAATGCATCTTTAACTGTATTTCTTGAGTCTTGCATACAAGCCGTACATACAATATATGTCGAATGACCAAGGAGTAACCACATAAATTGA